ACCATAGACTTTGTATGTAAACCTGATGCTCCTGATGCTGAAATCGCGTTTGGTGTGAACGCATCATTACACTTACCCCTTACCCTAAACCTAACCTCACAGGTACATGCCTGACCCTAACCTCACCTCAATTCACATCTTAGTCCTAAACCAAAACTTTAACCCACCAACGGTATTTAAGCTGGCCCTAAACTAAGTCCCCTTGAAGACTAGGCTTAGGGCCCTATAAGTAATTKTCCCCACACAGAAGGGAATACCAGCACACACACACACACTTTTTTTCTTGATTTTTTTAATATAAGTGATTCAGTAACAACTTAGTTGTTATGTAAGCCAGTGTCTGATGATATTCTCTGTGTAACGTTTTGATGCACAGAGAAGTCGCTGTGAGTGCAGGTGTTACATAAAAATCRTGCTCCTCCTCCGTCGGCGCTGTCTGTGTGGATTCACTGCAGACTCAGCTACAGCTTGGTGCTTTTTCTTTTTCTGTTCGGCCCCACCTGTCATCGCTTCAGAAGAGTGTTCAGACTGATTTTTATTTTTCTGTGTTGCAGCTGGAGTCCAGCAAGTCATAAAACATGACCCCATGTTGACTTGGTATTAACAACACCAAACTTTTGGGAATGCTGAAAGTGATGCAAGCCCCTCCCTCTAGATTCCCCACACTATCAGAACGGCCAACCTGACTGTAATTTAACAAAATATTTTTTATGTTTTTTAAATCCTGCCTTTGACAAAATGCCAAACCCAGTCCTGGGTGCAGCCGTGTAACTCCTGTGTGCATCCACTGCTGACACGGATGTAGCTGGTGAGTCGCTACAGCTCCGTCTACTGTTGCTATAGCGACGCCATGGTAATGAGGCTGTGTTCTGATGATGCCTCAGTGGGATGTTCGAGGAGTTGAGAWATCTCGGGACAATGAGTCGACTAGYGGATGACAGCGTTTGAGCCTTAAAGGCTGCAGTGAGGTTTGATTTGTGTAGAGCTGTTTGGAGAGGTCCAGGTCAAGTGTGAGACACTTTGATTTGATCGTAAAGTGAATCTTCTGCTGCCAAAACACCAGCAGGCATCATCATTCAACTCTRGTTAATTGTTTGGGAAGCATTCGATTGTTTCTGTTTACAGATAAGAGCCATGTAATGAAGTGGTGACGTACAGGAGACTCATTTAAACTTGGAGCTTGGTGTAAATTGAAATCTCATTATGTCCTTATAGACGAGCAGCACTGCTGCACCAACTCATTGGGTTGTTCCTGATGTGAATGTGACTGTAAAGCGGGGCATCTGGAATATCAATAGATCTTTGAAGTCTGATAAGCTTCTGTCAGCTCGTTAGTCTGTAACAACATGCAAGAAAAGTTTCCCCTGCTTACTCTGATTCAGCTTTGTGCAAAAACTCTTTTCTTCTCAAAAGGTCGTTTTCTGCAAACCTCAGTGAAGCTGTTTCATTTCTAGTTGGTCATTCTGTTCACACATTGCAGCAGAAGCAGCTGCATCAGGAGCTGAGATCTCTCAGGACAACTTTGTGTTACTGACTGCAGCAGACCCATCAGCTGCTTGCATTTGCAGACCAGCTACACCATAAAGCCCTAACTGATGAATCTGCAGAAAAAAACAGCTTAACACAACAGTTACCTCGTTTTACAGACCGGAATGTCGTCTGTCATCACACTTTACTCAACATTGTCTGTTAATCTTGCTAGGGCTGCTGCAAATAGTTGTTGTAATTAATGTTGACTGTGATCATTTGTCAACATTTAATCATTTAATTTGTCTTAAATGTTTCAGTTGAATTACCAAGTGTTTTCCTCGTCACCACTAGGTAGCTTCAGGCAGCCCTTGCCTAAAGCAGTACAGTCAGATTGTTAAGGATTTTTAAGGCAGGCTGAACATTGGTCCATTCTGGTCATCTACTGAGCAACTGGTATAGCCATAACATTGTTTAAAATAGAATATAAATGGTTTGCAACTAACTGGCAAATGCAATTAAATGGGTTGCTATTTTGCAAGCCACATTGACAAAATAGGTCTTGATTTTCAAAGAGTGGCAACTTGCCACACAGTTTCAAACATTATAAATTCAGGGGAGCTCCAACTGAATATTTGACTCTTGTAGTGTTACAGACCATTGATATGGACTCTTAAAAGTTTCTGTTTTTTTTTTTTTTTGTTTGTTTCGTTTTTTTACCAGTTGGCCAACATAAAACCTCTGTCTATTTCTTTATTCATTCATTTTCTTTATTCGGTTGTTTCTGTTAGGGTCGCAGGGAATTGGTGCAAGTCATTACAAGTGCTTTTGATGCATGTTTGTACACTACAGTTGCCTTCCTAAAGTCTGTTGCCTAGTAATATTTTGTACAAAATGTGAGATTTTTCTTTCCACAAATATTTAGCCATAAGCAGTCCTATGGTGGTCAGAGCACATGCTGGCTGTCTGCTGTGCTGTTTATTTGTCAGGCATGTTTTTCCACTCAGAGCCACCTTTGCTCACTAACCAGAGCTCTGTCTCTTAGGTTGTTGCTGCTCCGCATGTCTCTGTTTATCTGTTTAAAACATTTTAACCACTTTTAACTGGTACTTTCTGTGATACAAAATAGCATACAAGCAGTAAGGGCATTTTTTATTTATTTTTTGCAAATTATTTTTAAAGGAGACCACAAATTCACTTTTTTCAGGGTTTTTTAAACTTACATTTGGGTCTGTACTGCTTCTAAAAGCAGTTCAAGCACCAAAACAAATGCACTCAGGGGTATTTTTACTATAAGTAAATGTATTTTTCTGTGTCTTGAAATGAGCTGTTTTCAAACACCGCTGTTTTTGACGTCACAAGTCGCACTCCAGCCCACCCCAACCTGAGCCCAGCTCATTTCCTGGTAACCCAAGCAGAGACTCCGCCCACTTCTTCACAAGACGGTTCTGCTGTTTTAGAACAGTCATGGAGGACAGAGATGTGGCTTCATTTTATTTATTTTTATTTTTATTTTTGATGGCAATGTTCTAGCAATATTAACAAAGAAAGCTGTAGTTTGTGTAAATAATTTCACCATGAATTACTTTGGAAAAATACTACTTTCAACTGAAAGGAAACTTCTGGTGGGGGGCGGAGTTAATATAAACAAAAGGTTGGGAGGGGGGTTTCCATAGCAACTTAATGTAAAGCAGCAGGTTCTGAAGCGAGCTGAAGAACAGGCAGAACTGAAAAGGAGAAATTTCATTATCTGAGATTAATTTTGTGAATTAAATCAAATGAACATGTTTTGCAGAGCCCACAGATCCTAACTTGTTCTAGGACCCCCATATTAGGTCTCCTTTAAACTGAAGTAAAAACTTTTACTTAAGTTTTGTACAGTTGCTAGCATGAATGTTAGCTATGTAGAAATGTTTGTAATTAGTCCTTATCCTATTTTTGTCTCCCATCCAGGCAGCATCCTGTCATGAAGTTCCAGAAGTTGAGCCAGTGCTGGAGCTGATGCTGTCAGCAAGTCCAGCCCACGCCACACTACACTCATTCCCTTTTTTACTTTAGTCACTCATCACAGGTTCATACACTTCTCAGCTGCCGAGTCCAACTCCAGAAAGTTTTCGATGCTTTCCAAGTATAGGCTTGTTCCTGTATCTGCAGTTATTCCTTCTGGCTGTACACCAGCACCTCATACTGCATCCTTTAACCTAAAGCCATAGTTGGAACCACAGTAGCCAAACCACGGGCTGAGTACAAGTACTTTGTGAGGGCAGCTGTCCACAATAGGGAAACCCCGAACTTCCTCCATCATGTCCAGTCGACGCAAGGCTTCCACTCCCTGTATGATCCGTCCTGAGGTGACTCCAGTAGATCTAGATGATGAGGAGGGAGAATCGTATAATGTGGAGGTAATTTTAGTTCAGAAAGTCAACGTTTACTTATTTGTGGGAAGGAATTCTGTTATTTTTTTGAAATATTGAAATTGTCATATTAGTTTTTCTAATTTATCTAGTGTAAATTAACTTTTCTTCCTTACAGGACCATTAGATGTTTACACACCAAGTTGGTCCAGTATACATATGTCTACAACAACAGATTAAAAAAAAAACTTTTACTTCTGCCTTTTTCTTCTGCCAGAAAACAGAGAGCCATGTTCAGGAGACACCGATCAATGCAGATTCATCTACTCTAGCAGAGCCATCCACGGACTCAGATCAAACCAGCAAGGCCTCAAACCCTCCCACAGGTCCAGACAAACCAGAAACTGAGCCACCAGACCCTTTCAAGCCTCGGCACAGACAACAGGGAGGCTATGAGTGCAAATACTGTCCCTTTTCCACACAGAATCTCAACCATTTCAAAGAACACGTAGACGCTAATCATCCGAATGTCATACTCAACCCGCTGTATTTGTGCGCCGTCTGTAGCTTCAACACGAAAAAGTTTGACTCTTTAACGGAGCACAATGAGAGATGTCACCCTGGGGAGAGCAACTTCAAATTCAAACGTATCAAAATGAACAATCAGACAATCTTGGAGCAGACAATAGAGGGCTGCGGCAACAATGCAGTCATTTACAACATGTCAGGGGTCCTCACTGGTAAAGGAGGCGGACTAGGTCCTCACCTGCTTAACAAACCCACCACGGTCAAACACCAAAAGACAAAAACAGTGTCAACAAATACCAAATGGACAGAAACTCATTTGGGTAAACTGACCCCTGATCTGACCAAGAAACCAATCACAGCGCTAAACGTGAACGGGACGGTCATCATCCCAGAGTCGGCTCTCCTTGCAGCAGATAGCCTTTCTCACATCATGCCTTCTTTACAGCAGCCTATGAACTACACCCAGGTAGGAAGAACTCATTTACATGCTGATATTAAGAGCTTAAAAGTAGTGTTTAGATATTTTGTAAAAGCCAACGATTTGCTAACAAGCTAAACGTTTCAATGATCCAATGAGCTTGAAGTTTGAGTCTTGCTGAAGAGATAATTAATGCAACTCTATCTTTCATCAAATTAAAACAGTTATTGTGTGAACTCTTATTTTACACTGTCTTGATTTGTAAAATAGAATAATACCAGCAGATATCAGAGACAGAGAAACCTAAGCATTGGTTGAAAGCACACCAGTTATGTACCCATTCATATTGTCTCTAGGGATGTCCTGATCCAGATGTTTTGGCTCCCGATACAATCTGATTTTTTTTAATGATTAGTCTTTCTGATACCGATCCGATAGCTTCATTTCTTTATTTCTTTCCAAGTGGCAAGGTTGGTAGTATTAAAGTGAGCCCTGCTGTTCCCACCACAAGAAACATCCAGTTTGCAGGTTTGCAAGATGCAGTTTCAGAATCAGTTTTCCACTGAAAAGTGTTCCCACACTGTGGGCATGGTTGCATACTTGTGTGTGTCGACTTCTTAACTGCAGTTGTGAAGCATGATGATGCTGAAAACTGTCGCAAAAACTGGATCGGCCCGATCACATGACTAAATCCGATTCTACACGATTTTCAAAAAATGGCCATATCTGCCACCGATACCGAGTATCTGATCGGGACACCCCTAATTGACTCCCACTGCTAATTTTTGAGGGTCTTTTATCTTGTTTTTAGATCATTTTTGTTTGTTTGTTTGTTTGTTTGTTATTTCTTGTGTTTTTTTTGTTTGTTGTTCTTTCAATAGAACCATGTGCACTGTGAATTGTATTGCTTTTTGTTTGTTTGTTTGTTTGTTTTTTACTTGTCTCGGACAAAAGATGAAATTTAGCTATTGTTCTAATTTCTGCATATTTACACTGCCATGAATTAACGTGCACTGTCCGTATCAGATAAATTTAACTGAATGTGCTAATAATCTGTAACAGTCACTGAAAATGGAAATTGTTGTCACCGGGACTTGTTTTGTTTCAGGTGCCGAAGATTGCAGTGCCCCTCAACACAACCAAATACAACCCGTCCCTGGATGACAACCTGACGCTCATCTCTTCCTTCAACAAGTTTCCCTACCCGACACAGGCAGAGCTGTCATGGCTCACTGCAGCCTCCAAACACCCCGAGGAGCAAATCAAAGTTTGGTTTACCACACAGAGGCTGAAACAGGGCATCAGCTGGTCACCTGAAGAGGTATTCAAATCATTTATCATGTTTAAAATCCTGTTTCGTCTTAAGTGATGCTAAATCAAGGCACTGTTGTCTGATTTTGTTTCTGCATGTTTAATGTTCAGATATCAGAATAAGAGGAGAATWGGTCTGCATTCAACTTTATGAATATTGATGTGGATGTAGGTTTTCTCACGATTATTAAGACTTAAGACATTTATTTAAAGAAAAAACGTATTAAAGAAACTTTAAACTGCATTTATTTTTAACTACCTTTGTATTTCATGCTGTTTTATTATTTCATGTTCTGATATGCAAATGAGGGGGTGGGGTTTTCTCTGTGGATTGGTATTCAGGAAATGATCTGTTTCRCCACCAGAGGGCTGGTCTGACTGGCAGCTCCTTTAAGAAGGAATACATATATATAGATATAGATAGATAGATAGATAGATAGATAGATAGATAGATAGATAGATAGATAGATAGATAGATAGATAGATAATTAATGAACTTAATTTCTTGGACTTTGAATATTTGGCTTGTATCCATTCTTACTCTGACAGGTGGAAGAAGCCAGGAAGAAGATGTTCAATGGTACCATCTCCTCCGTACCTCAGACCTTGACTGTGGTGGCTCCACAGCTCAACTCCCACTCATCCAGCAGCCAGTTTGTCCACGCCACTTGCTCAAAGCCCCTGCAGCCGGCAGCCTCTGTTCTCCAGTCCCTCCCCTGTCAGATTCTGGGACAGACCAGCCTCGTGCTGACCCCTGTGGCCAATGGCTCAACAGTCACGTGTGCTCCGCTTGCTCTCTCAGTGGCTAACCAGGTAGAAAACCTGCTCAGAAGTCTAGGTTTATGAACAGGAAACTACAACAGCTTCTGAAGTTCTTCATTTTCTTGATTTCTCTTGACAAACAACTTGATCCAAGGAGATTAATCTCCATGATTCCCACAGGTGGTACAGTCACTCAAGCGGCCCTTGGCCACACCTGTGATCTCCACAGAGAGTAAACGACCCTCCATCATTCAGACCATCTCCACACCGACAGCCACATCCAAACTGGCTTCACCCAAAACCGTCAATTTCACAGTCGACCCTAATAAAACCGCTGAGCAGCTGTCAGTTCTGAGGTCCAGCTACACACAGTCTCCTTTCCCCGAGGAAGATGAGGTAAGAGAATGGACTGAAATCTTTTTTTTTTATCGTCGTGATGCAAAGTAAAACAATAGTTTTGCCATTGCTTAGATCTTGTTTAGTTTATCACAAGTGTGCCCCCATTGTTTTTTTGTTTTGTTTTTGCTGTGCCATTTGACAGATCTATAGGTTGATAGAGACCACTGGACTATCCAGAGGGGAAATAAAGAAGTGGTTCAGTGAACAAAGGCTCCTCAATCTCAAAAGTATGTGATGGAAAGAGTTGAAAAAAATCTACTTTCTGGTTTTAGAAGCTTAACTTGGATATTAGAAATGAAGTGCTTGTTTTCATGTGTCTCTTGGAGGTGCTCCTGCTCCGCCTGTACTGGTGAAAGCTGAGGCAACGCCGCCAATTAAAGACAGTCCTGTTAGGAAGGCAGTGCCGAGCCAGTTTCCTCTTCTGGAGAGGGTGAAGGGGAAGACGTCGGAGCAGCTGAATGCGCTGGAGGAGAGTTTCCAGAGAAGCAGCTCTCCAGCTAATGCAGACCTTGGTAAAACACTAAATCCTGTTAAAAGCATGTCAGCTTTATCTCCTTACTTTGGAAGGAAAATCGTTAAAAATAGTATTTACTAAAAACCAGTGGCGGGCCGTGCATTTTACACCTACACAGAGAGAGCAGAGAGGGCAGGACGAAGACAGGCTGCCAGCTGTGAGACTTCATAGATTTGAGGCAACATTTTTAAAAACGTCTATAAGATTGCCCTGTACGTCTGTATCCATGCAAAATGGAAAAAAAGTCTGTCTAATTTACAGACAATCAGTACAACTTGACATGAAGCCACGGCTACAAAAAACACCAATAACACACAGAAATGCAGAATAATATGCTGCTGCACCACAGACAGGTGTCTCTGCTGCACCACAGACAGGTGTCTCCTCACCACAGCAGCATCAATGCAGACATAATAAACTGACAACTACATAAAACAAATAAATAAAATGTATTTTACTCACCGTAACATTATCTGTTTACAAACTCAATCCTCCTTTTTTTTCAGGAAGAGTTCAGTTCCTCTGTCGTACAGACCCTCATGTTTCTGTCGTACAGACCCTCATGTTTCTGTCATACAGACCCTCATGTTTCTGTCATACAGACCCTCATGTTTCTGTCGTACAGACCCTCATGTTTCTGTCGTACAGACCCTCATGTTTCTGTCGTACAGGTCCTCATGTTTCTGTCATACAGACCCTCATGTTTCTGTCATACAGGTCCTCATGTTTCTGTTATACAGGTCCTCATGTTTCTGTCATACAGGTCCTCATGTTTCTGTCATACAGGTCCTCATGGCGTTTCCGTTTTAACAAGTCCTTTTCTATCACCTCCATGAAGCTAACATTGAAAGTCCAGTCTGTTCTGTCATATTTTTGTCACAAGTTTTAATATTTTGTAACGCTGAGAATGTCCGCTCAGCATTTAGCTTGTAAGATGCTACCGAAATCCATTTTCCCGGTTCTGAATCGTATGCTCTCCGATCAGCCAATCAAATGACGTGAAAATGTTGACTCCGCCTCACGTGGGGAGATCATAATAAACTGTAAATGTACAGTATTTTCACAGAAGTGAGAACACCCCTCACATTTTAGTAAATATTTTATATGTTGTAATGGGCCAGCACTGAAGATAAGACGCTTTGATACGATGTAAAGAAGTCAGTGTACAGCTAGTATAACAATTAGCTGTCCCCTCAAAATAACTCAACACGGTCATCAATGTGTAAACCTCTGGCAACAAAAGTAAAAGGTGTACTCATTGCACAAGAGCTATGATACTGCTCCTTCATGCATCTGGGATGTAGGGGTATGTGTGGGCCTTAAGTGTGACATCCTGTCACTTAAGGTTTAGAAATGTTTTCAGAAGGACTCAAAGTCTATTCATGAATATTCACAGGCTGGACTCCCGTGGATGCATGAAAGACCTTGTCTCAGCCCCAGGAGGGCATCGCCACTTGCAGGAACAGTGGTCAGATCTTGGAACCTCAGAACTCACGTTGATCTGTCATCAGTTTCTCAAGAGTTCAGATCAGCCAATTTGTTGGAGGTGATTTCCTCAGATGGAGAACATGAAGCATGTTCTCACTGATCAACTTGAAGACAAGTCAAGCTGTGTGGTTGCACCATCTTGGCAAGAAAAAGCTTTCAAAAGGAACACAGTTCATCTGGAGTATATCTCAAATGAAGAAAAAATATTAAAATATTTGTTTGATATAACAGATTTCAGTCAGTTTAAAAGATAAATCCAATAAAGTTGAGCTGAAGAATCTGCAGATGTGGCCTGCGCCTCAAGTGTCCATCAGGAGAGTCTCTTTCTGTTTGCTTTGGTTCTGTTCAGTTCAGTGGGACAGCACTGTTGTCAAAACCAAACTCCAGACCCAACAGGACTCTGTTGAGACTCAAGACTGCAAGTCAGAGTAATGAACAGAGAGCGAGGAGCAAAGCTACAAGCTAGGCTTTATTGACTGTTTTATGACTTGGTCCTGACACAGGGACCATGTTTAGATGAACTGACCAATGAGAGAGAGACACATTTCTCTTCTGCTCTTTTAGCAAAAATAAAAAATAAAAAAATAGGAGTATTTTAGCTTAAACAAAACCAAAAATGTGAACTTTTAAATCTAACTTTCTAATCCTCTCATCCACCCACTTTGAGTGATATGCTCCAGGTCAATATCCCATTATCAYCATCTTTACTCCTGCTCAGTGATGATTCCACTCAGGACTCTCCTCTCATCAAAAACCCATACTGTGGGCTCRTCTCGCTGCAGCTAAGAAGATGTTGGCACTGAGATGGCAGCCACCACATATTCTGCCATGGCAACAATGGGCTAACTCTTTCTTATTGTTATGATGGAGAGATCAGTAGCTAGGATGCATACAGCCAGAGAAACTGAGAGCATGGGATGGAGCTTATTCTCTGGATGAACCAGTGCAGACAGTTCCCTGSAAGCTACTAGTCTCTTGACTGTACATCATATTTGTATCATCTCAAATGCAACTTTATCATAATTTTTTTTATCTCATGATCTGGGGGAGGGGGGCCCGCCATGAAGGGGGTCGCCATGAGGGTGGGGGAGGTATCGATTTGTGCCTTTAGTTTTTGTTCATATGTCCTATTCATTATACTGTTGTTATTTTGTATTTTTTCTATTTCTGAAATTGCACAACAAAATAAAAACATTTGATAACAAAAAAATATCAGAGCGTCCTTAAGGCTGTCAGAAGAGCAAAACTGGAGGGTTGCACTGTTCTGAACAGAAATCTYTGAGCTTATTTCTGAGATCTGTTGGGGGCCACTCTTCCAGTTTGAGGGTCACAGCAACAATAACCACTGGCTAGCTTGTCTACTTCCTCTTTCTGTTCTTGTTATGTTTTCAGCCTCTCATGCTCCTGATGKTGCAGTCCCTTGGGATTGCTACATCTAACACCGCTACCTTCTTCTGTAACTTGTTGACCACTACAGTGTCCAGTTGGTTAGCCATCATCTGTTTGTTGGTCTGAATCTGGAAATCCCAAATAGGGATGCACGATATATCGGCATTAATATTGTATCGGCCGATATTGGTCTTTTTTTTTTTTAGAATATCGATATCGGTCCGATACGTAAAACTRGGTCGATATTAACAACTGATATTGATTTCCCACTTTTTTATCTTTGTGTTTGTGTTTTGGGAGGGGAGATGGTTGCTTGAGCGGCAACTGTTTGTTCATGATAGTGATATTAACACTGCATATTGGAATAACTGAAGTAGAGCCATGTCAGAGGTCTGGTCATTCATTTACGGTATCGAAAAAGACCCAAGTGTTTTTGTGTATATATGTATAATCTAATTTGTGTGTTTGTGTAATATCGGTAAATATTGGCTAGAGAAGGCTGGACAGAAGGGCAGCACAAAGGCACTAATCATGGAAGCACAAGAACAAGCTCTTAGCACAACAGCAATAGAGAATAGAGGCTGGGGTCTAAAATACCAGACAGGACCCAAAATGCAGGTTGTGCAAAGATGCCTGTGACAGTTGAACACAGAACAGCAGGGTGTAAGATCCAGGCAACCACATTGCTGGAATAATATACAGGATTATCTGTGCCGGGTATGGGCTGGAGGTCCCAGAGTCAAATTGCGAGACACAAGGAAGGGTGGTGAAGAACGGAAGAGCTGAGATACTTTGGGATTAGGGATGCACCTACATGGAAATTTCAGCAGATACCGATATCTGATATAGTTATTGGTGTTATGGGCAATAACCACTGGTAGGATTTGTTGATGTGAGCCACTTTCTCAATCTTTCCACAATAACTCCTGTTGTTCCACCTCTTCCACAGTGGGTTTCTGCTGCTGTTTGAGACATTCACTCATCAGTTCATCATTACTCCAGGATCTTAGTTGTTTCATCCTGTATAATGATCCGCGCTTACTAGTCCTCTTCCTCCCTCTTTTCTTTTAAGCTGCTTTGCTATTTATACATAAAAACACAAACATTTTGTCATCTGAGATTGTTGGTATTATTATTATTATTATTATTATTATTATTATTATTATTATTATTATTATTATTATTATTATTATTATTATTATTATTATTATTATTATTATTATTATAGGAGTAAGTACCAAAAGACTTGAGAGGTACAGTTCAACAGACCAAACGACTGAGGTGATGTTTATAGCAGTTTTGAGCAGTAGTTTATTGGTATTTATTTTCAGCTCTTCCAATTGGTCTAAATTATCAGTATGTTGTTTTCAGCATTTTTTTAATGAGTATAGTACTTAAAAAATCCAGTATTTCAATCAATTTTATTTTTTTCTGGAGCGACTGCATACTTTATCACTTGTGGGGGGAACTATGTGACGAGTGTAGCAGACATGTTTCTAAGCAGCCTCTCTTTTAGGTCTCCTRTAGTGAGACTGAAACCTGTGTTTTCCAAATAGAAACTCTTTCATATTGGTGAAACACAGTTCATCTGATCCTCTGAACTCTTATTTTGTTGCAGACCATCTGGCGCAGGAGACCAGGCTGTCCCGGACTGAGGTGGACTGCTGGTTTTCCGAGCGCAGGGCACTGAGGGACAATATGGAGAAGGTTTTACTCACCCTGGCCTCCAAGAACTCTGAGGACAGGCTGGAGCAACCAGGAGGGGCGCTGCTGAATGGGGCTTCTCACCAAAAGCAGGAGAGGAACCCCCCCACCTTTTCTCCTCACCCGCCCGTCCTCTCCTCCTCYGCCTCTTCCTCCTCCTCCGCCTCTTCCACCTCATCCTCCCCTCCTGTTCTTGCAGCTTCCTCTCCGCAGCTTCCAACATACTCCTCTTCAGTATCTCCTCCCATCCTCAACTCATCCTGCTCCTCTTCTCCTCCTCCTCCTCCTCCCMCCTCGCAGGCGTCTGTCTTCACAAACCAAACAACCATCTATAGTTATTCACTGGCTCTGCTCAGGGAGGTGAGAATGATGAAAAATGTCTTCAGTATTTATTAAAAATGCTGCTAGCTGTGTAAATAAATGTCAACTATTTATTCTTGAAGACTGCCTCAGAATTTGCTATTTATATTGATATAATTATTATAATTACATATAGTG